AAAAAAAAAAAGAATGTAGAATGTTTTATATATTATATATATTTATATATGATTTATATTGAACACATGAACATGATCACGAAATAACTATTTCCTTGGCTTTTTTTACTCTATATTAGTAAATGAAATGTAAAACCTGTTATATCTTATACATACATACATATATATTCTTTTATTTTTATTTTTATTTTTATTTTATTTTATTTTATTTTTTTTGATTGATAGATGAAAAATCGAGAGATTATCAATTAAATCGAAAAATTATTTGGAAAAACCGAATCAATTTTTCTTTGTTCAATTTTTGAAATATTTTAAAAATATTTTTTTCTATTATGTTCAAGTGTTGGTTTTGTATGGTTGTACTTTGTAATAAAACTTTAAAGAATTTTAATTAAAACTTTTTAGCCACAATGGCTGAAAAACAATCCCATTTAAAAGATTATCATTAAATTTACCTGATTTTTTTTTTTTTTTATTTTATTTTATTTCTCATATTTACGTTACCCAAGCCAGTTACTTTTAATTTATAATAAAAAAAAAAAAATTTTTTTTTTTATGTGTTTTATTTGAAAAATAATTGAGAAGAGGCGTAGTTGAAAGATGATGGTACCCTATGCAAATATGAAATTTACGATTACTTATGATTAGTTACTCAATTTATAAAGAAAATACATAACGTCGACCTCTTGCGATAAAGAATTCGCAGGACCCATTAAAACATAAACTTTTGATAACTTACGATATTCTACTGTAAAAAATTAGTAACGTCGTCCTCTTGCGATAAAGAATTCACAGAACTCATTAAAACATAACTTTTGATAACTTACGATATTCTACTGTACGTCGACCTCTTGCGATAAAGAATTCGCAGAATTCATTAAAACATAACTTTTGATAATTTACGATATTCTACTGTAAAGAATTCGTAACGTCGTCCTCTTGCAAACTCCAATTAAACCTTATAACTTTTGATACCTCACGATGCGTCGACTGTCGACTTATATTTTATTGTAAAGAATTCTTGCAGAACTCGACCAGGTGAATTAAAACCTCACAAATTTGATAACTCACGATATTCTATTGTAAAGAATTCGTAACGTCAAAACTCGACCAGGTGAATTAAACCTTACAACTTCGATAACTTACGATGCGTCGACTTATAACTTGCGATAACAATAACTTATTCTATTGTAAGGAAGCAAAATCGACTAAAACCTTATAATTTTTGATAACTATGACTTATTCTATCGCAGAGTCGACCAGGTGAATTAAAATTTGATAACTTGCGACAACTTGCGTTAAGTTATCCAGTTATAAGGAATTCGTAGCGTCGACTAAAAGGAATTCGTGAAAAGAAGCAGACCAGAACAGTAAAACCTTGTAACTTTAATGACTTGCGATAAATACGACGCAGAGCATACTTCGTAAAAAGAGGCGGAACCGACTAGGTGAATTAAAAAACTTTATAACTTTTGATAACTTTTGTTAACTTACGAAAACTTTCGCTAAATTATCCATTTATTCAATTATTCAATATTCAATTATTCATTTATAAGAAATTCGTAAAAATTGACGGAGCAATTAATCAAATTCGTAAGAAAAGGTAGCGCAGACCAAAAAAATAATATTGAAACCTTTTAAAAAGCGTTCCAACAATTTTTATTTCAAAAATATATACATCAAACAATTAAAAATATTAAATAAAAAATTTTATTATTTTAATCAAAAAATTTTTAGACGTGAAGAAAAATTTCTGGCTAATGTTCATCTATTACACGGTTCCTTGATATATACGTTATATTTCCGCGGGATGAAGTACAGTAATTTCCGTGTATCAAGGTTTTTTAAACAGGAACTGATTTTTTTAATTAAAAACGTCAGACTTGACATTTTTATAATTAAAAAATCAAAAAAAAATGATTTTTTTAATTAAAAACGTAAAATTTAACGTTCTTGTGATTAAAAAATCAAAAAAAAAAAATTGATTTTTTTAATTAAAAACGTCAAACTTGACGTTCTTGTGAAATACTATACATATTACTCTTCAAAATCAGAGATTTATCGGTATGACGGTTATTTTCGGTATTATCGGTATTTTTCAGTATCATCATCTTGAAATAATTTATTTTATTCCCTCCAAGTATTATCCAGTTTTTTCAAGTATGTTCAACGTTAAAGTATACCCACGCCCAATTTTATTCACACCCAAGTAATATTCACACCCAATGTTCACACCATGTTCACGTTCACGTCAAAGTATGTATATGTCTAAATATATTCATACCCTACATTTAATTAATTTAATGTCAATAATGAATGGTTTTACTAAAAGTGATTTACCCCTTTTACTCCGCGATGATCTTTTTTTAGATCTCATGGGCCAATTTACGAACAATTAATCGTCATTTTTTTAAAAATATTTTAATTTTAATAATAATAAAAGAATCATTTGAGGGAATATTTCTAATCGTAGCATAATCTAGAGTGCGTAAGAGGTAATTTGACGTGCGTAAGAAGTAATCGTAGGGTAATTTTAGCGTGCGTAAGAGGTAATTTAGCGTGCGCAGAAGATAATTTAAAGAAGTAATTTAATGTGCGTAAAGAAGTAATTTAACGTGCGTAAAGAAGTAATTTAACGTACGTAAGAGATAATTATTTAACTTGCGTAAAAAAGTAATTTAGCCTGCGTAAGAGGGTAATTAGATGGAGTAGCGTTTATAATGTTTATAATGTTTATAATGTTTATAATTTAATTAATTTAATTAATTTAATTAGTTTAATTCACATTTTCTTTTTTTTTAAAAAAATAAAAAAAAGGATATTCAAAAAAAAGGATATTCAAAAAAAAAATTCAAAAAAAAAAACTGATTGAATATAATGAATATAATGTAATGTAAGAAGTTTAATTTTTAACGTACATTAAAAGATAATTAGATGGATGGCGTGACTAGTATGAAAAAATTATGTCAGCAAGATAAAATAAGTTAAACAGAAAAATAAGAATAGTAAAATGATAACAAAAAATTTATTTTGTTTAACATAAAATATTATTCGATTATACGTTATTTACTTTTATTAAAAAATTTTTTTTTTTATTTTTAAAAAAGGTTATACATATTTTAAATGTTTTCTTGATATGGTATAATAATGAAGTTTAATAATTATGTAAACATTAGATGCTCAAGTCCCTAATCGAATTATGTTTAAAAGGTAACGTAACATAAATTTAAAATAAATTAAAAAATGAAAAAATGAAATCACGTGAAGGTATCAGATGATTTAAGTTTATTAACCGGTGTAACCGTTGATAACCGTTGTAACCTAAAAAATTTTTAAACCAATTAAAATATATACTTATATATTTTATATAAATGTACATATATGACTATTATAATGGAAACATTGTAAATATTTAAATAATAATAATAATAATAATAATAAATAATAATAATAATAATAATATTACAGTGTATATATTACTTACTTTTTACTTTATAATATATTGATTGTTGTAACCTGTTATTGTTTTTTTTTTTTCTTTTTAAAAGGTGTATAAGGTATATTTGGTATTTCATTCACAAAAATTTATTTACCGTATGGAGAAAAAGTACCGATCGATCCGTATCCTTCGGATCTTCCGATTATTCATTAGCGGATTATCCGATTTTTCGGATCCGGATTACCATCCGGATAATTTCCTTAAAAAATATTAGAATTATTCTTAATCAAGATATGGAGTTTTTGTTTAAGCGACTAAAAAATCACANTAAACCAATTAAAATATATACTTATATATTTTATATAAATGTACATATATGACTATTATAATGGAAACATTGTAAATATTTAAATAATAATAATAATAATAATAATAAATAATAATAATAATAATAATATTACAGTGTATATATTACTTACTTTTTACTTTATAATATATTGATTTTTTTATAGTTTTATTTTAAACAAAATTGAACTTTTAAATCATTGAATGAACCCAAATTTAAAAGGTTTGTTTAACCTTCATGAGAGAATTAACAACAATAGAAAAATTCAAAGGGGAATAGGAGCCGAAGTGATTATGATTAATACTAGCCACTTTTTAATAAGTTGATCATGTGCTTTTATTATATAATTATCAAAAAAACGTTTCAATTTCGATGATCGTTTTTTTTTTTTTTTTTTTTTTATCAATCTCAACTCATAATAAATCGATATCACATCTTTTTTAACCGTAAAAACTTTTTCTCCGAACTGTACTCCATACTCAAAAAATTCTTTTTTGTCAATAATGTTAATTAATAAGAAATATGGTTTTAAATATCAATATTTTACAAATTTACTTTCATTTGATGGTATTTTAGATATTAAAAGAAAGAATTCTATAATATCATTAGATAGATTAAAAAAACATCAAATTGATACGAAATATTTAATTAAAAAATTAACCAAAACATCTTATAATAATAATGAGGATCAATATAATGAAATTAATTATGATGATATTAAAGGTATCTTAATGGATTTTCATATATTACTTGGAGTTGAAAAAATGGATATTACATTAAAAAAAATTTTAGTTGTAAATTATATCGAAGGGGATGATGAATTTATATTAGGTAACGATTTTATTAGAGACTTTGATGTGGAAATTGAAGATGTATATGATAAACAATTATTACGTCAATTAAAATTTACCGTACAATTGAACGAAATTGATGATTATATCCATAATGATTTTGATAGTAAGAAAAAATTTATATATATATGTTTTTTACAGAGATTAATAACTTGTAATTAAGCCATACTTACCATACTTACCATACTTACCTTACTTACCTACTTACCTAAACTTATTTTATGTACCAACGATTACAAAGATATAAATGATGAAGCAACATCAAGTATATCTGCTGGTAGTAATGCTGTAAGAAAAAGAAGAATGAAAGAAAAAAATGTTGACGATCTTACACATCATGATGATGCTTACGCTTCTTCTGCTGATAATGTTGCTGAACAGAATAATAACATAAATTCTCGTACTTCACGTACCTCAACGTTGAAAAATTTTGTGGAAACAGTAAGAAATACATTCACAAAACATTATTATTGCATGATCGTGGCCTTTATTATTTTTTTAGGTACTATTAGTAGTATACCTGATGAACGTTGTAAATATAGTATTGATAGAACAAATTGGATAACTAATGAAGATTGTGAAGTTAAGGTAAATATTTAAATATTGTATTTCTATTGATTTATCATTATTAATTATTATACACATTCCCTATAGTGTCTATCAAAAGCGTATCATCTGATTTTCAAAGATGATGTAGATTGGCTTATAACGTTGGAAAATGATGCTGCTTCACTTAATACTTGTAAGTATTTTTTGATCATTATTTGATGGTTTCATTCTGTTTATTTATTTGCACACTTTTTACTTTAGCTTTAACAAGTACAAACGAGCGTTGCTTAAATAAACTAAAAAGAAAAAGTCCAATTTATGACTTGGAACTAATATCGGATAATATGTATAATATAAGGGCCTCTTATAAATCCTTATTAAAATATTATGGAAACGACTTATGGACACAGAGAGAACGTCATATAAAAGATATTAAAACCATTGTTGAATTCTCACCATCTGATTGGTTATTATTCTTCATAAATCAAAGAAAAAAAAGAATAGATTATATTAACAAATTATTTTTATCAATTTCTGAAAATGATAAGAATGAAAATTTTGTTAATATGATGGAAGATATACATATTGAATTAATAAATATTATTGATGATATTAAGAAAGCATTGGAGAAACAACAAAGCGAAGATAATATTTTTGATTGCTTAGATCTTTTGATGACAGAATTAAATTATGCTAAGTTATATACTGAAAAATTGAGAGAAAAAAATATAATTATTAATCATATTTTTATGAAATTGAAGGTTGATATTATAAAAATTTTAGAGAAAAGAAATTTTAATAATGATGAGATTGAAATCATTAATCATTTTTTAGAACAAGAACAAATTAATCGTAATATATTTCTTGAGAATATTTAAAATTAAATAAAATCTTTATTTTTTTGTTATCATCATAGTATAAATAAAATATTTACAAAAAAATTCACAATTTTGATCATCATTAATTAAAATGGTTATCTCGGTTCGCGTAACCTTCCGGATCGGAACTTATAATGAAAAGTTTCAATAGATTAATGAATATTTTTTAAAAAAATACCGAAATGATCGAATTAGGCTGTTGATAAATTTTTAGAATTTCAGGAGAAATTATACAACTTTCAATCTGAAATTTCTCGTGTCACATATTACCATCTAATTTTAATTTTAACCTATTAGTAGTATTCTATGTAAGTACTGGTATGCTTACTATGTATAAAAACCAAACCTTCAACAAAAAGTTATTTAATAACAAATACATTTAAAATATAGGTTACCGTTGATTGATTATTTACTGTTATCTCTTTGGAGCCGCGGATCGCTCAGATAACGGAGCCGCAGACCCCCCAAGTAGTTCATAGTCGGAAAAGGCTAGAGGACAGGGTGCTGATCTGGTCAGGGTGTTCATAATTGGGTCGAGCTATGAACAGAACTATGAACAAAACTTTTATCCGAATTTAACTCCGTTACCACCAGTATCAGATGATGATTATAAAAAATCATATAATAATGACAGTGACTTACCCAAAAATTTGACTATATCTAACAACATAATGACCCGTTCGCAATAAGCCTAACCTACCGCGCACATTATGTACCACAACTAACAGCTAATTCGCGCACAAACATTAGTCCAAATAAACGCCAACCTAATTTAATTCCTTGCACAGGTTGTCATAAACATACCCCGTACTATATACGTCCCAAGTGTGTTCTGGTCTCCAAAACTCAAGAACTTAATTAAGTTCCATATATACTCTTCAAGATTCAAGCCAACTCACGTGACTCACGGTAAACGTTTCGTTTCCCACCAAACCTCTTCGGGTTCTCGCGCATACAACATCTTTAAACAACGTTCCAACACGCCTTTCGGACAAAATCTACCTATTTTCAACACTGTTAGCGAGGTCGCAACTCTGCCTCCTCAAATATTAATTTAGATCCTCCTCCTTCTTTTTTTATAGAAAACCTTCTTATTGGTCACTCGGACACAATCAATTTGTTAATTTCTTTATCACATACGTTTATTCAACACAATTCATTTTCCTTTTTCACAGATGGTTCACTCGCCAAAAAACAAAACACCGCTATTAAACACCAACACACAAATGGGCTTTGCTGCAGGGTCCCCTCATTTACCACCTATTATATTCCAACGCTCAACAGCATTTAACTCTTCTTCCACTAATACCGTAATGAATTGAGTTGTCTAATGTTCATTTAATTCATCTATTTCATTGTGTAGCTCTTTGTTAACGTCTTTTCCCTTTGCGTTGTTGACTTGCATTCCGTTGATTTATTCGTACAAATCTAGTTCGTATATGTCACATTGTCCATGTTAGATTCTATATTTATTAAATATCTTGATTGTTGTACTTTATCAAAAAAGCTGAAACTTATGCCATCCTTACAGCCATTTTAACCTGCCCTTCTGACTCAACTCTACACGGACTCAAAAAACTTCATCGACACTTATCACAAAATTTCAAACAAATTATTATCGACCAGACGTAACAATCACAACGCATGGAGATTAATCGAGAAACTCGTTTATGCCAGATCATTAAACATATCTTTTACAAAAATTAAAGAACATTCAGGAAATGAATATAACGATCTGGCTGACGACCTGGCAAATCACAAATCAAGCTCGATCACAGTCACCTATTGAAATCAATCCAACCAAAATACCAGATTCGCTTATGACTCCGTTATGGGACTCATTAGGACCAATTGATCGCGACGTTAGAAAATTTTCTCAACATGTCACAGAATGTTTTACTTTCGATATCTTTTAAAAAACAAACCACTGCAAACATTGTTCAACAAATTTCCAATTGGAATCTATTCACTGGCCTCTCACCAAGGATTGGCTTCACTTCAACAACAGATGATATTTGTAGCGATTGCAAAAGCGCTTACGAGTTACGACTCTTTCAAAATTAAAAGTCTTAATCACATATTACCTTGTGGCGACGTCCTACTCAAACATTATCCCCTCCTTTACCCAAAAGATGGTATACCTTGTCCTATCTGCAGCCAGCATCCTGACACTAATGAACATTTGGGATTCTGCTATAACCTAAGGCCTTAATCAATACTACTATACAACACCACAAAGCTATTCTTATCAGCTACTTATCGATCACGTTTCGAATAATCGTTTAATCAAATTTATCCCCAATAGCGTCAATAGGTTAAGCCTTTTCACACCAGTCAACGATAACTCACAATATTTACTTGGTGCTGCACCAACTTATTCCTCAAGATCTAGTGGAGTAATCAGTTCTTATACTAACACGCGGTCACGCGTCACGTGATCTTTAGATTTTTCACTTCTTTACAACAATTATATCAAGAAACTTGAACTCGACATAATTCCTCCCTTCATAACTGGGAAAAAGCACACAACGTAACCAAACGTAAAAAACGTTACTACAAACATCGTCGTCGCACAGAAAAAGCCAAACACAAGCAATCGTCACACAATAAAACACAACCATGCACGCAACCAAATCATGCTTCATCCTCTACTCCCGTTTCAATATCGTGGCCACCAGCTTCGCCTCCTTGGTACGATCCTGTTAACGTCTAACTACCTCCACTCGGGCGAGTGGACCTTTCTTTTACATTATAATTCATACATAGATTTTTTTAGTGATAATACCTTATTTTTGTTTTATTTTTCTTTTTTTCTTCTTATTATAATTTAGTTCCTTTTTCTTCTATTTTTTCTCACAAATCACATGCGTTTCTGTTAACTATAAATAACAGGCGGGCCGATCCTAGAGAGTTAGGCTTTATACTGGTATCGGTGTAGCGTAGTAGTTTCTTTTGTAAGGGCTCTGCTCCCAGATTTGTATGGCTCCCGTCATTGTTTATATTTTTTAAAATAAATAAAATAAAATAAACAAAAAATTTGACTATGTATATAAATACTTTGTGAAGTAATGGAGAACGGTGTTGCGTCTAAAAGAGAACACTTTAGAAACGATGATATTAGAGAAATTGCACAGAAAATGAATGAACATTTGATTAGCTCTCCACTTTGGCCCAAATCAAATATCCGATCTTACTCTCTGACGAAATTTCAATCTTAGGATGGGGGACGCTAGATATATACGGTAAGATTTGTAAGAATTGTTTGCAATTTTTTCACGAATAAAAGTTACTTTCTGCCGCATGATATTAGACTTGTCTCAAATCTAAATCTGTAACGGATGCGTCTTGCACTTCTATCTTTACTTTTAAGTTGTAATTCTTATTATTAAGATCATATTTGAGAAACTTAAAAATTGGAAGTCAGCGTAAATTAAAATGAAAATATCTTCGATGCGATGAACGTAATTGGAAACTGAGTATGAAAGTTTTGAACAATGCCTGATGCTTTATATATTCAATCTTGACTTAAATATGGCCATGATCATCTTTATGAATTAAGTGAATCGAGAGCTTTTAGATCTGGCTACCATGGTTTACATATCCGTATAGATCATTAAAATAGCAATATTCACGAAATTTATAACTCTAAATCATGAAACTTATTGCAGAAGATACAGATAAAAAGTTACGATACATTCTCCGAATCCTTTCCCCGAATCGTTCATTTTGTCGAAGGACATTTCGCCGAAAATATTAGTGATTAACATAATTCCTTAACCAATACAAAATGTTTCGGAAAATTTAATTTTCCTTTACTGTAATTAAAATAAAACAAACAAACGCAACTTATAATATGTAAATAATTCGTTTGTCTTATAAAAAAGAAAAGGAAAATTGAAAAATTCAAAATCTTCGATGAAATGTCCCTTCGCCGAAAAGGATTCGGAGAAATGTCCTTCGGTAAAAATGGTCATTCGGTAAAATGTCCATTCGGGAAATGGTATTTCGGCGAAATAGCACTTCGGTTTCGGCGAAATGGACTTCGGTGAAAAGTCCAGATACCCGGATAAAGTTGTTTAGAGGTCGTGGTGTTTGCATATTGATATTTTTTAAATTTTGCATATTGATATTTTAAGTTCTACAAATTAAAATCTAATGGTAAGTTAAAACTCATGTATTTATTTCTTATTATCACGTAAACCACTTTGCAATGTTGAATTCAATTTTTCGGAAGTGCCTTGCAGGTTAGATGGCTGCACGTAAAATATATTCTTGATGGGATCAGGACGCCACATGAAATGTACGTTACATAACTACAGTACTATTTACGACAAGAACAATTATTTAACTTTCATTTTATCGAAATACCATTTTACCGACATAAAAATTAACCGAAATTTTATGGTGCAGACTATTTTCAATTATTAAACCTTCAGGAAATTGCTTGAACTTTTATTGTAAAATTTATTGTAATTTCATCAACTAACTCAACTAGCTGAGCCTCACTCCTTACTGTGCTTTAATTTTGAACGTTCGACGTTATGCCATAAATATTTTATTGGCAATTTTTACCGCCCGTTTCGTGTTTGAACGACAGAAGGCCAGAATCAACCTGATGTAAATAACGTCACAAGTATGTTATTTCGCCTTATTAAACCTTATTATCGTTCTCTTGATTTTTTAAGGGAATTGTTCATAGCATTCGTAATAAAGAAAAATTTGCTGCTTTTAAAAAAATTGTAGGCTTATATAACTTTCAAATTTCAGTAAGAAAATCAATAAATAACGTCCAATTTTGTTTCATACGATAATAAAGTATTATTACTTGGTGAAAATCTTATTACGATTGAAATACGAAAAATATAAAAATAAATTTTTGTACTGTTTACTTTTATACTTTAATAAATTGACTTACAATCTTAGTAAAAAAAAAAAATAAATTAAATTATACATAGTAAAAAATAAAATAATTAAAAAATATATAGGATATTTTCAAAGCAAAATTTCATAATCATGTCAATATTACATCGATCATGTCGGC